CCCTTCAGCTAATTTTAGCACCAATGAGCAGCAGCTTAGCACAGCTCAAAGGAGCAGCACTGAAAAAGCAGGAGCTCCAGGCACACGACACTGGCTCTGCGTGCCCTCACTGTGAGGTCTTCCTTACAACCGTGGGAACTCGAGATTCTGCTCTGAAATCTTGAAACTCATTTACCTTGCAGAATTCAGTAGCGCCGTCTGGGTATGCCAGCACTCAGATCAGACCCACCTGGCAGCAGGCAGGCAGAAAACACTGAAGTCAGTGGCCACGTCCAAGCTCCTGCCACATGTGAACTGACTCAAACTCTCATGAGCATTAAGTGGGGGCATGGAGACATGCAGGCTGGAGATGGAGGCTGGACTGAGTCCTAGCTAAAGAACATTTTTTTAATGATTTTTGTAACCTGAATAAATACTGTAACTTCCGTGAATTCCCGTGCTCTTTCTCTCCACCCTGTCTCAAAGACATCACACAGTTAGCAGCAGATTACTTGCTTTTGCCACACTGTATGTGTCCTGAAAAGGCAGTGGAGACAGAGCAGAGGGATGCTCCCTGCCATGAGATGTTCCAAAAAGTGCTTCAAGAAAAATAATGGACTCCAGCTGATTATTATAACTGCTCTGTTAAAAGCAGACCTCACGATGGCCTGCATCCCACGCTGTGGAGCAGCCTTCCTGCAGAGGCTGTGTCTTGGAGCAGCCAGGCTCATCATGCAGGAGAGGACCCCAGGTGTTCCCAGGAAGCTGCTGGGTACACGGCCTCACCACACTGCCCAGTGGGACACATCCAAGGCCGTATGACAGCTCACCCTGGCCAGGTGCTGGCAGAGGAGCAGTCAGGGTGCAGCAACAGTTGCCAGGTGCAGAGCCCAGCAGTCCTGCAGCCTTCAGGAAGAGATGCTGGCTCTTTGTGTTTAATAACACAGCAGATTTTTCTTCCATGAATTCATGCTGTTTAAATGCTTTACATCTGTCACATCCTGTGGCCAGAAGCTCTGCAGTTTAACTATACGTTGCACCAAGAACCACTTCCTTTTTGTTGTGTTAAACTTCCTTCAGGTAGTTTCAGCTGGAGCCCCTACTCCTGCGTCAGAGGAGACAGCGCACACTCCCTCCCTCCCTTTACATGCCTGCCAGGACCACATGGCTCTGTCTCACAGCCTCCCACCCATCCCTGCTCCCAGCCATGGAATTGTTCCTCACCCCGAGGCTGCTGCAGGGCTTTGGGCACTCACACTTCCCTTCCCTGCTCCATCTTTGTGACATAGAGGCAACAGGAAAGCCAGACGTGCACACATCCTCCTAAGCTGTTGGCAGTCATTTTGCTATTTCTTCTCTTTCTTGGAACATTCATTTTGGGGTGAAAATCTCAAATCAGGCATGTTTGGGCCAATGTTGCCTGCAGTGATGCAGGCTCTGGGCACACAGTGGTTTCTCCTACAGAGGAAGGAGACCCTCCTGGCAGCCCCAGAGAGGGCATTGGCTGCAGCCCAGAGCACAGGCCAAGCACAGGGAGCCCTGTGAGGCCAGGAGCCAGGAAAATCTGCCTCCTGAGAGCCTGATAACGAGCAGAAAGAAAACATAGTTGTCGTTTTGCATCGAGGCTCCTAGGGGGAGCAAGGGCACACTGCGAGTGGCCTGCTTGGTGCTGCTGAATGTGAAGCCGCTGCTGGCTGGTGGGGCTGAGCTTTTTTGTGCCTCGCATCAGTTCTCTCTGTGCAAAGATACCTGGGGGCCAAATCTCTGGTGTGCTCCATGAGGAATCAGCACATTACCTGCTGTGGTGTGTGATGAGAGAAGGACACATCCCCTGCTACAAGCCCCCTTCCAAAACTGGGCATGCTGGTTTCCTACCAGCTATGGGGTGGCTTGCACAACCCATTCCAGCCCGGGCAGGAGCCTGGGGATGCTGGAGAATCCTGGATGCCCCCAGGACTTGCCTTGGCCAAAAACAGCACCCAGAACTTGGCAGAGAGCTCAGAGGCCTTGAGGCTGATGGCTCTCCATCATCACAGCCTGGGAAGGAGGCCTGCAGCTGGCACACAGGCTGGTGACTCGAGGGGTGGAGAAGCTGGAACTGGTATCATCTAACAGGATTAATAATGGAGATGTCCCTTCTGACACTGCCATTGCCTTGTGGCTGGATGGGATGAAGTAATTTCTGCTCATGCAGCATTCTTGAGCTGGGTGCTGTTGCGTTGGCAGGAAACTCCATGTTGCTGGAAATGTCCACGTGGAAATGCCAAGCTCTCCTTGAGAAAGAGGAAGCCCAGAGGAAGGAGAAGCCCAGGCATCAGACTGTTTCCTTGTGGGCTTCTCCAATGGGCTTCCGCAGCCCATTGCACGGTGCCTACCCTGCCCTCCACCACAGGGCCTGGGACATCCTCGCCATGCTGTGAGCCTCAGAACACCAGTTAAGTTTCATGGGAAGAGTCTCTGCCCCCAGTAGTGAAACAAACACGCAGTGCTCCCTTTCAGGAGGGTTGCTGTTGTGCTCACTTGTGGCAGAGACTAAAGCCCCATCAAATCAAAGACACTCCCAGTTGCATCAGTGGAAAAAGGAATGGAGAGCTTGCTCACAAACTGGATTGGCAGCTTCAAAGGCTGATCTTGCCTTCCTCCCACCCTTTGTTCCTCCAATGAGCAAGGGTAGCTATCTCCTGCAATGTGTGCACAGAGAGCAGCTATCGCCATGCCTGCAGAGCAGCCACTCCTGCAGGAACCTGCCCAGAGCAGCAGATAGTGATGGGACTCCAGAGGCGGCCAATCCCGAGGAAGGTGCATCCTGAGGGGACGTGCCTCTGCAGAGTTCCTCACGCCCTCACCTTGCACAGCAGAGCCACTTCACCCTGGTGAGGTGTGGACAGCAGGATGCCTGGCTGCTTCTTGAGGGCACCTGGAGGAGGCGGCTCCCTGGTGACCTGGCAGCTGCAGGAACTGCACAGGCAGGCAGACACATCCTCTATGGCTGCAGAGCACCAGAACCCAGAAGCAGCTCAGTGTGTGCAACCCTGATGGGCAGGGATGGGAGATCTTGCAAACCATGGCCCTTAGAAAATAAGCTATTTGCTACCTTGCTGACAGTAAACTGTTCTCCTTCACCAGCAGAAACACCAGCATGAAAAGCAGCCACAAGCAGAAAAGGCTCCAAGTCAACAGCCTTGGAGGTTTTAGGGTAGGGAAAGCAATGCAAGGCAGCAAGGACGGGGAAGGGGAGAGGGAAGGGCCACAGAGGCTGGTAGACGTGAAGCCTCAGGCTGTAAATGTGGGACAGGAGATGTGAGATGCTGCAGACCTGGAGAGAGTGAGAGGAGCTGACACTCCTTACACAAAGTAGATTTGTCTCGATGGTTGGGCTCGATAATCTTAGTTGTCTTTTCCAATCTCAACAATTCTATATTCTTCTTAGGAGGGTTGTTCTTTCCATTGGATTCACCACAGTGGGGAAAGAAAAGTCCACGGGAATGAAGAGTGAAGCCCACAGCCTGGGAGGAAGTGTGAGGGGCAACAGTCGGAGCTGTCACTCCATCTCATGCTTCTTTTGCTGGACACCAGGGTGCGTGCTGTGGGGATGACAGCATGGAGGTGATGGCACAGGTAGAGCAGTGACAGCAATGTTCTGCCATTGCCAAAGAGATCTCCATACAGAGCAGAGAAGGAATACATGGCACAGCTAAGCCAAAGACAAGCAAACCTTTGGCCCATAAATCACCCCTTTAGAAATAAAGAGCTGGCTCTTAATTTATTCTGCATGGATCAAATTCTGTCTCCTTATTTTTAGCCTCCGCTCTGCCTCGTGGTGGAGGCGGTGCCCCCCAGCACAGCCTGCAGCCTGCAGCTCCTTCCTGCAGCAACTGCTGCCTGTTGGAAGGCCCTCATATGGCGTGGGGGTAATTAGTGTGAGCGGTGTGCTTCCCTTCCGTCATGGACTTAGGCACAGTTTATATGGACTGGAAAGAGAAGAAAGAAATGGAATGACATCTACGTGGTTTTTCATGTGATGCTTATGCTAATGACCAGCCCAGATATGAAGTCCTGTGAAAATATTTAACTTTATGGCACTTGCCTCCTTGCCTCAGCACCTCAGCTTGGATCCCATGCTTCACTGCATGCATGAGTAACCGTGCTTGAGGCAAAGTCCACTTCCCAGATGTGCAGTGTGGGAGGAAGCTCTGTGATTAGGACGCACCTGCCACCGTATTCTTCAGCAGTTGGGTTTTTTTTTTCTGTGTGTTTTCACTTCCAACATGAATGGCTGATAGCAGTGTGCAGTCGTGAAGCCCTTTCAAGACAGGAAAGAAATCCAAAGAACAGTAATAATGGAGAAGATTAAATAAAAGAAACACTGTTTTCCTGTGCAAACGTGCTGCTCTGAGAAGAACCCCTGCCTGCTGCAACTGGGCATACCCAGGGCTGCTGCACTTTGGGCCTGCTTTCTGAGCAAGCCCTGACTAACGCACAGCACATCTGCTGCGTTCCCACTGAGCCCCCTGACGACTCCAGCTTCCAACTTCCAGCTACCTGAGCCTTAACCTTTTGTGCAATTGGGAAAATCCCTCTGCTCTAGCCCATCAGCTGCAAACAGCTCTCCAGGAGTTGTTCAGTTTGGGCTGAGATGTTGGGAGGCTGCCCTCCCCTCTGGGTGCTCCTGCCGCAGCTGTGGGTACAAGCAGAGCCAGTGGTGTGTGGGGGTGACCCTGGAGAAGCTGTGAGCAAAAACAGGCATGCACCGAGGTTGCAGAAACCAGGGAGCCCAGCAGGAGGAGGCAGTCCTGCCCTGCCGCCTCCGCAGCGCTGCGCCCTTCTGCATGCCTCCCCATGCCACGCTGCTGGATCACGTGCTTGCAGGATCTAAGGCCACAAGGCTACAGCAGTCAGTGCCAACAGGGTGGAGAAGAGAGCAGGGCCCTTTAGATTTGCTTATTGAAACCTGGAAACATAAACAATTGTTCTAGACCAGCATGCACCTATTTGCTTTTCCTTGTAACCAGAGCCTGGCAGTGGCAGCCAGCCCACACCCATGCCTTCCTGACTCCTGGTGAGCCCTGGAGTGGTGACAGCATGTCTGCATGGCGCTGTGCAGCCCCAGCTTGGGGCGGGATAGGAAGAGAACAGGGCTAGCGACACAGCAGGAAGGAAACTGCTCACACTGGGGAAAATCACTTGGCAGCACAGTGGTCTTGCAAGGAAATCACCCTAGCTGTGCTATCAAGCATCCGAAAATACTGGTTGGAATTGAAAACATGCCTGGGGAAACACCCACAGCATGACCCATCTGGGGAGGAGTAGACAGCCGGGAATGCTGCCCCACTGCCCTGGCTGCTGGGGCAAGGGATGTGCTGGGAGGAGAGCGCTGCCAGCCACGGTGTGACGCAGCACCGGGTGCTGATGGGAGCCAAAGTCAGTGACATACCTCCATGGCTTCGTTGGATGTGTTGGTAAGTGTGCCTGCCCAAGGATGGAGCCGGGAAGCTCCTGACACTGCTGAGATGCTGTCCCCAGGGGCACCTGGCCAGGCGTTCTGCTGCTCCAGAATGGACCTGGCTGAGGCTTGAGTCGCTGCTGCGGGGGAGAAAGAAAATCTGCATCCCTGCAGCCAGAGCCAGGTAAGGCCTTTGCTGCCAGCCCGTGTGGGTTGCTTGCACTCACAGCCCCATCCCCACGTGGCCACGTGTCTGCCCGCTGTGCCCCTCTGTAAGCCCCTACGTGTGTCCTTTCACTGCGCCACTTCTGGATGCTCTGTGTCAGCCTGGAAAAATCCAGGTGCGGCTGTCACCTCCCTGTGGTTGGATGGGACGCGCTCGGGGGCGGCGGGAGTTGGCTGTGCATCAGCTGCTGCCGTCTCAATAGCTTGTTTACAAGGATGCAAATACTTCACAAGCGAAAAAACCTGCAGCCTAAAACGTCCGTGAGTCCCGGTGGCACCGCTTCGTCGGCTGTATTTGGACTTCTCATTTCTGCTTTCTCCGAACCCCTTTCTGCGGCTGAGCAGCAGGGCAGCGCCAGCAGAGTGGGTGCCCAGGCACCGCACCGGGCCGCGCCGGGCAACTCCAGCCCCGCACAGCCGGGAGCGAAGCCATAAACAAACAGCCGCGGAGCGCCGGGTCGTACAGCAGCGGGGAGCTCCGCACCGCCTCGAGCCAGCCGCAGCCGGGAACCCGCAGCCGGAGCTCCGCCGCCGCTGCGTAGCTGACCCGGCTTGGCGTTCGGGCACCGGCTGCAGGCGCGGTCTCCCCACCCCCGCCGCCTCTCCTCTCTTATCAGACCCGGGGGGGGCATCTGCGGGCGGTGCGGAGCCGCCGCCGCCGCGCTCCTCCTCGCCGCTCCCCCGGGCGTTGCGGGCGGGCCCCGGCCGGACCCTGTCCCCGCTCGCCGGGGGCCGCCCAGTCCCTCCCGCAGCGCGCTGTCATTGACCTCCCCCCGCTGCGGCTGCGCGGCCGCGGCTCCCGGCGCCGGCCCTGCAGGTAAGAGCGGGGTCGGGCCCGGGCAGGGGGGTCTCGGGCACCGGGGCGCTGCGGGGTGGGAGCTGGGGCCCGGCAGCCCCTGCCCTCCCCCGGGTGCAGCTCTCCTGCGGGGATGCTCGGAGGCTGCAGCGTAGCGCCGATCTGCAGGCAGGCCGAGGGGAGAGCCGGGCAATCAAACCTGCTGTCAGAACGGCTCCTTTTCAATTTTGTTATTTCTCCGCCGTTTCAGATGGGGGCGCAAAGAGGTTTCCTAGCCTGGGGGCCGTTCCTGGAGCATGGGAGAGCGGGGGTCCCCATATCGGCACTGGGACCGGTGGCACTCAGTGCTTGGTTCCTCGAGCTGCAGCCAGTGAGGAGTGGGGCAGAGCTGCACAGCGCGGTGGGTCCAGAGAGCACGGCAGCACCCTGAGCCCTGCCTTCCCCTCGGTCCCTGCATTTGTGTGCCCCTCTGCCGTGCAGAGCTTGAAGCACTTCCAGCCCCGGCCCCAGTCATCTGCTTGTCTCTGGGGTACATCCCACTGTCTGGGGACCTCCGAGGCACCCAGTAGAGCGCAGAACAGTGTCCTGTGGCAGCCACAGATACGTAGGGGGTTGGGATGACAGCTAGCAGAGTAGAGTTCTCCTATAAAGCAAGCAGAGGCGCTGTGCCTGCTGTCTTAGCGCATGTATTTGTGTTCTTGCCAAGCCTAGCTCTCCTCCAGAGCAGCTGCGGGCGTTTGCCAGGCAGGGGCACTCACTGCTGCAGCACCCAGCATTTGCTGGAGCAGCCCCCAGCTGAGGCTCTGGCTCAGCTCTCCGTTCCCACCACATGCACCAGGGCTGTGCAGCTGTGCAGGAGGCCAGGCTGCCCTAGGCTGGCTGTGTCTCAAGGCCTCCCGCCTCACGCTGCCCCAGCGTCTGTCTGTGCCACCTGGAGAGCTGTGCCTTTCTCCTCAGCACCAGCATAACAGGGGATGTTCCCTGAGAAGGAAGTGCCGTGAATCAGCTCCCAGATTTTGTGCTCTCTACAAGAAGAAAGAGAGCCGGAGCAGCACTTCTGCAGAAAGCACTCTGAGCACCAGGGGCTCCCAGCGCCTCTGGCACCAGGCGCTCACGCCTTTGCCCACTTCTCCCCCCAATTTGTAAATCAGCTCTCCCTCCCATAGAAATGCCTGTTGTTCAGGCGTCACATAAATACTCTTTGTACTTTGAAAAAGACACTTGAATGCAAGGCAGCATGCCAGGCACTGCTGAGCAGTGACAGCCAGCCCGAGCAGTGCTGGAGCAGGCGCGGAGCTGGTGGAGCCCTGTGCTCCTCTTGGGGAGGGGCGCACAGCTGGTGCCGGGGTGCTGCTCTGGCAGCTGGGATTTGGGCACGACTGCTCAGCATGTCCCCATCTGTCTCACGTGGGTGCCTGCCCTTGACAGCCAGTCTACTTTTCGCTCTCAGCATTTTATGGTTTTATGTTTTTGCAGTATTGCCCTATCCATCCAGACCTTATCAGTGGTAGGAAAGCCTTGCTTGTAGATGTGAATGGCTTGTTGTCCCCTGGAGCAAGTGTGCATCCCACAGATGTGCCCATGGAAGTGTTCTCTGTCCCCTGGCATAGGTGGACCAAGTGTGAGCACCGAGCCGGACACCGGAGCACCAGTCCCTGTGGCTGCAGCTCAGCCCCTGACCCCAACTCACTCTTGCAGAGCATCTTGTCATGGCAAGCACCCACACAGAAGAGCCACTTGCTGAGGACACAGCCGACCATGATGCACACATCTATGAGGAGGTGATGCTCTGTGAGAGGATGGAGCACAGCCAGCGGCTGGCTGTGGAGGAGCTCATCACCACTGAAGCCAGCTATGTGCACAACCTCCAGCTGTGCCTGTCCGACATCCGGGCGCACCTCCAGAAGAAGCAGGTGAGGGCGCTGTGGGATGAATGTGCTGGGAGCAGAGGGGCTCCCAGATCCCAGCAGGGCTGATGGGACAGGACAGGCCTCCCAGGACAGCTGGGAGGCCAGTACCTGCACCCTGATCCTTTCAGCCCCCCAGCTGCCCCCATCAGGCAGGGTCGTGGGTTGAACAGACATTATGTCTTAGCCAGTACAGCCATCGAAAGGCTTTAACTCTGCATCTGTAATGTTAGAAAGGCCTTGTCCTACTTGGGAACAAAGACAGGTCTTATCTCCAAATGCCTCTTGAAATGGAGCGTTTCCAGCTCCTCAGATGTCACATGAGGCTGCTGGAAGGATACTGGTGTTGAGAGAGTGCAGATGATTCCACAATGCCAGATCCACCTCCATCTCATCTATTTGGCTTGTTCTGGGGCAATTGTGTTCCTTCCAGCTGCCTGGTCTTGACCTGGAAGGACTCTTCTCTAACATTGATGACATCCTCCATGTCTCCAGACGGTTCCTGAGGGGACTTCAGGACACTGCTACCCAGGAGCATGAGCAGCTGCTCAGCATCAGTAAGTGGAAAGCAAACTCATATGGTATGTGGGGAAGAGACCCCTTCCCATAGAATAGAACTGTCCCATCCAGCCTGACCCTCCTCCTCCAGGCACTCTGTTCCAGGAGTTCAAGGAGGAGATGGAGATGGTCTACAAGATCTACTGTGCTAGCTATGAGCATGCCCTCCTCCTGGTGGAGAGCTACCGCAAGGACCCCAGGCTGCAGGAGGAGATCATGGAGACCCTGAGCACGACAGTGTAGGTACCCATGCCACCCCCTCCCTAGTGGCCTTGCCCTTCTCCTCTCTAAACAAGCTCCCTGTGTGGATAGGTATCTGCTCTGGGGTACCTAGCTGAGTGCCACATCTTCACAGCCTCTCCTGCATCCTCTGGGACCTGTCAAAGCATTACAGTTTGGGAATCTATTATGGTGGACTTCAAACCTATGGTGGGGTGGCACCCATGGCTCCTGCCTGCTCCTCTCCCCCGATCACTGCCATCCAAAGGGGCTGTGCCACAGAGAATATGCATTTTCCAGTATTAGCAGAGAGATAGGCTAGCCCCAGTGGACATGGAGGACCCCTTCTGCCCCATAAGCGTGGTCACGAACACTACAAGCCACTTGCATTTCCTCCTGCTTGCAGTGTAGATGATGTGCTGGAGAGAGGGGGTCTGTGCACACAGCCTGGGATGTCTGTCCTGCACCTCTCAGCCAGTCAAGCACAGTTCTGTTCAGGAGCACCAGATGCCTGCTGAGGCTTGGAACTCCCTTTGGGGCTGGCGGGGACAGCACGCTGGTGAGACTGCCTGAGGGTGCACAGCTGGGGTACATGGACAGAAATCCAGGCACAGCTCACTTCTGGATCCCAGGCAGCAAAGCTTTCTTGGTGCTGGAGAAGGGCCGGGTTATGCCCAGAATGCTTGCAGAGAAGCCCAGAGAAGCATTGGGGCTGTCCTCCATGCCATCCTCACGCAGTTCCCCCTCCTTCAGGCCTCACACGAGCGCCTCGGACCTCAGCTTCTTCCTGGTGATGCCGGTGCAGAGAGTCACCAAATACCCACTGCTGCTGGGCAAGATCCTGGAGAACACCCCTGCCAGCACCAGCTCTCATGCAGCCCTCGCTGCAGCCGTGCGTGCCATGACCCAGGTCAATGCCAACATCAACGAGTACAAGCGGCGCCGGGAAGTGGGTGAGCAGGGGCACATTTCAGGCAGAGGGCATGGCACAGGCAGCGGGTGGCTGGGGAGGCTCAGTTCAACCCTGGTTGCGTCCCATTGGTGCTGCACTGACTCCTATTCAAGTCAGTTCAAAGCTCTCCCTTTCTCCTGTCCTTCAGCCATCCTTCCAGGTGGGGCTGCAGGCTGGGCTGCGTCCCAGCAGCTCCTGGCACTGTGGAACCTGGCTCAGGGTGGGTGCTGCACTCTGGGTAAGCTGCAGGAGCAGGGTGGCATAGGAGTGAGCACAGAACTGGTCCATCTGCATTCCCTGGGCTGGGGAGTTGAAGGAACAATCCTGCCCTTGGGATAGGAGAAATCAAGCTCCCCACAAATGCAAGCTCACTCTGCTTTTTGGTTTTCATGGTAGTTTCCCTGGGGCTGCCCTTCTTTGATGTGGGTTGTGCTTATTCTGTTGATCAGCCCCAGCCTTGCTGCTGTTCTCACCTTGCTTTTTCCGTTTCACCCATTCAGGCTGCTGCTATAAAGCTTCTGCAGCCGCATTGTTCTCTTGGTCACACCAGCATCCCAACAGCTGCCCCAGCACCGTGCAGGGAGGCTGCTGGGCTGCAGGGCTGTGATAAGAGCATGCTACCTGCAGAGAACAGCCAGGACACAGCGCCGCAGGAGCCAGATCTGCACTGGTTTGCTGGTGGCTGCAGGCAGGATTTCTGGTTCCAGAGCACTGTTGTCCTATGAATGAAGGCCAAAGCACCCTCGGGCTCCCGCTGTACAGATAAGCAGCTGTGTGAGCAGCCCCTCACCTCGGGGCCGCCGGACCGCTCACCAACAGCTCTCCTTCCCCTCTCGTGTCTCCCCGAGGCAGCCACCAAGTACAACAAGGCTGAGCAGCTGACGCTGCGGGACCGCTTGGCTCGGCTCAACACCCATTCCATCGCCAAGAAGACCACGCGGCTGAGCCGGCTCCTCATGCACGAAGCCGGCATCGTGGCCAAGGTGCGCGCCTACCTCCCTCCTCTGCCGCTTCTGCGGCTTTCCTCCTGCACCGAGGCACGGAGAGCCGAGCCCGGTGCTGACACCCAGCGGCCTGTGCTGTCATGTAAGCCCCCGTCCGCCTGCCGGGTGACCCAGTGTGGCTGTTGGTTTCCAATTCTAGCCGCTGCGCAGGCACAGACCTCCCTCCTTGCCTCATAAGTATCAAAGGGGAACATTTTGACCTCCGAAAGCCCTTCAGACCCGTAGAGCATCCCAGCGAAAGGATGCACACCCAGTGACACAGAGCACTGCTTGCAGTTAGGACATTTTCCCCAGCACCACGTCCCATGTAGTGCCCAAACACCCCGTATCGTGGCCCTTGCCAAACTCCTGGAGCCCCTCAGGGTCTCCCCAGCTCCAGCTTCAGGCTGCACCTTGTGTTGACATCCCCTCTGCCCCCACCCCTCCCGTTCTGCCTGCACAGAGACAAGCCGCCCCTTGCCTTGCAGACAGAGGACAAGGAGTATGATGACCTGGAAGAGAAATTCCAGAGCGTGGCATCCAGTGTGGTTGCACTGAAGGAGAACGTGGCATCCTACCTGAAGCACTTAGAGGTAAAGCCCTGTCTGTGTGCAGGGAACTTTCCCCATCCAGGCCTCAGGACCCTGTCTGGGAGCTGCAGAACACCCCCAAGCCCTCTGCAGACAACAGCTGGAGGTGCTCAGGGATTTGTGTTTCTCAGCTGAAACATGTTGTTGTGCTGGGGAACTCACAGCCTCAGAAGATTGCTTCCATCCACAGGAGGCTGAAATGAAGCTAAGGCTTCATTGGCAGAGCTGGGTGTCAGTTGAGAAAAGTCAATCCTTACACTGATCATTATTTCAAAGTATCAAATAGCTGGAAGTGCTCACTGTTGTTCAGCCTGGAAATACTTGCTTTACCAGGTATAAGGCACAAGTGTCCCCAGATGAGGCATGGCAGCAGACTTCCCTTCTGAGTGACCTGGGTCAGTAATTGCTGTAATTTTCTTATAGAGATCCTTCAGGCTGTCTGAAGGAAATGAAAGCATGAGTGATGGCAAAAAGACTGTCAGGAAGATCTCAGGAAATGGCAGAGGGGCCAGAGAGCACCTATGTCAGGACAGAAAGACCTTGTCCTGAAAATACTGAGAACGGTTCCCCACACTGGTATGACATGAAGGAAAAGGGGACAGGATGACTCCTTGCAGCCCAAACAGTGCATAAAAAGAGAAGAACACAGGAGGACGGCAGTCTGTGTGCTAGTGAGATGTGGCAGGGAATGGCTGTTCTTTCTCCCCCTTATATTTGTGCGCACTACATGTATGGAGAGAAGCTCCCATGCTGCTGGAATAGTTACAGGATGCTGCACGGTGCTGGGCAGCTCCCAGAGGCCTGCCCTGATTGCTTTCTCCCTTCCAGGCATTCCTGCTGCCTACCCCACACAAGTGTGAGCTGCAGATGGAGGAGGGCCCTGCCCAGCAGTACCGCCGCCTCGCAGAGCACCTCCACTGCGCTGTGTTCCCAGAGTTTGTGAGTGCTCCTTCTTTGCAGAGCTCCTTTGGGATCAGAGCCAAGCATCTCTCACACCTCCTGCCAGGGCTGCCAGGGCAGGGGAAACAGAGAGTGGGGTTCAGAATGGCCCGATGCAGGAGCATTCTTATCAATATTCAGCTTTGGGAGCCCATCAGCATTCCATAGATGGTGTCTGCCCTCAGCCCCACTCATTGTAAGCATGGCCAGGATGGGCTTCCAAGCAGTGCAGGCTGTGGCAGGGCAGACAGATCCCCAGACTGGATACCAGTTCCCCTATAGGGAGCACCAGCCCTTCCCTTGCTCATGCTGCACAGGGTGAGACACGGGGTAAGCACACACAAGTCCTCCAGCAGGCTCCCAAGCCTTTTCTAATGCATAAGACAGTGTTGCATGCAGACAGCGGGGCCTGTCCAGTGGGGTTCCCATGGAGATTTGGGTTTTGTCATCCCACAGAGGCGCCGGCTGGACAGGCTTGTCTGGCAGCCGCTCTGCAGCCTGGCAGAGATGCTGGTGGGGCCGCAGCAGCTGGTCAAGAAGCGCCTGGACAAGCTGCTGGACTACGAGGAGATTCAGGAGAGGAGGAGCGAAACGGGCAATGTGACATATGATGAGGAAGCAGCCATGAACACCTATCTGGCCATCAATGCCCTGCTTGTGGCTGAGCTCCCGCGCTTCAACCAGGTGGCCATGCAGCTCCTGGAACAGCTCCTGGGCTCCTTCTGCGTCCTGCAGCAGGACTTGGCTGCAGAGGTTCTGCATGAGGCTAAAAAGGAACTAGAGCAGGTGAGAGGAGGAGAGCGGGTGTCCTTGTGCTCATCCAGGCTTGCCTGTTTTAGCTGGGTTCATCCGTCTCCCCCTCTAGCAGGCCCGTGGGGCTGTGGGCGCAGGCCAGGACCTATGGCAGCTCTGGTGAGCTGGCTGCATCCCACACTGACCTCAGGGTCCTTCACAGATGCCCCATGGCCACATGCTGCTGCCCGCTTTCTGGAGGCTGGTGGAGGACACCCTGCAGCAGTCAGGAGTTCAGCTCTCTACCTTCATCCAGGCATTTGAGACTGTCACACCAAGCCCTGTGCCACAGGTAGGTGCTGGAAATCATAAGCTCATTAAGGTTGGAAAAGACCACTAAGATCATCAGGTCCAACCACAAACCCATCTCCACCGTGCTCACTTAGTGCCACATCTCCACAGTTCTTAGACACCTCCAGAGATGGTGACTGCACCACCTCCCTGGGCAGCCTGTGCCAAAGGAAGGGCTGACAATGAGGAGGCGCTGTGTCTGAGACCTCGTGGTGCAGGATGCTGGGGGCAGGTTGGCTCACACAGTGGCACAGGGGATCCCCACAGCCACAGTGCTACTCCAGAAGAGGCTGTCTGGGAATAACCAGAGCTGGAACAGCCTCAGCTTTTCTGGTTCTGAGCACTGGTCTTCTCCAAACTGTGAGGAAGAGCAGATAGTGTGGAGAGGTTTCTCTAAGCACCCATTGGAACATGACCACATGATGATAGAACATGCTCACAGAGGGCCTCAGTCTCCTGTGTCTGAATGAGTGCTCCTGTGTTTCTTGTTCCCCTCCAGCCCCTGAACCCTGCTGAGGAGCGGAAGGTCCTTTCCCTTGTGAACAAACACGGTAAAGACAAGCTTTACCAAGTGACAAGCAACATCAGTGGCAGCAAAGACATGGACCTGACCTTGCAAAGGGGGCAGATTGTGGCTCTGCTGCAGAGTGTGGATACTAAAGGCAACAAGGGCAGATGGCTTGTGGATGCTGGAGGTACTGTTAACATTGCAGGGAGGCACCAGGGTCAGAAAACAAACCCAAACCACTTCCTCAGCTTGGATGAAACAGTGAGCCATTGTCTCCTGGACCCTCCTTTCCAGGACTGGCTTAGCCCAAACCCATCTGTGCTCTGCCAGCTACACCTGTAGCCATTGGCTGTAGATCTTGGGTTTCCTCATTTGTTCCCCAAAAGAGCACTTGTGAAGTGTCAAGACTGGGAAAGGAGAGTCCTGCCCACACAGAAGTGTCTTGAAACCCATTATTTGGGCTTTTGCTCTGGATGTACCCTAGCGAAGGACACGTTTGAATGGGGCTCCTGTGCTGTGCCAGCCACAGCCAAGTTCCCCTCCCTTCTCCTCCAACCCATCCTATGTGTGTCAGGTGGTGGAACCCCATGACCTGTGTGTGCATGTTCTCCAGGTCCCCGAGGGTTTGTGCCTGCTGCCAAACTCCAGCCCTATTGCCTGGGACCAAGCCAGCAGCCCAGGATGCAGATGTCAGCCCTGGAGAGTGGTACAGAGAGAAGGCGACATTCTTATGTGTCACCTGAAGCTCCTAAACCCCAGGTGGCCACATTCACCCCGGCTTTCCAGGTGAGAGGAGAGGACAACCCAGGGCTGTTCCCAGCGACCCTGATAGCTCTCTGCTCGTGGGCAAAGACACAGACCTGTTTTTCCAGCACACATACAACCATTTGTGTGCAGCTGTGTGCCTTGCAGGAGTGTCACAGCTGCCTGGGTAAGGCTGAGGTTTGCCTTTCTGGGACCTGGGGTGGACAGAGCAAGGGAGTTGTGCATTGGAGGTCTCCATTGTCCCTACATCAATGTCCTTGGTGTCTCTAGGTCCTACCCTGCCATGCATGTCCCTTTGCTTCCTAGCTCTGCCTCTTGCTAAGTGCTTCCTCCTCTCCTCCTGCTCTCACAGGTGGTCGCTGGCTTCTCCTTCACAGCACGCAGCCCGCAGGAGCTCAGCCTGCAGGCAGGGCAGCCCGTGGTGGTGCTGGAGCCGCACGACAAGAAGGGCAGCACTGAGTGGAGCCTGGTGGAGGTGAACGGGCAGCAGGGCTACGTGCCCTCCAGCTACCTGCGGACAGTCCCTGTGCAGGAGCCCATGGGCTGGAATCTGCCCGTGTGAGCAGCACCAGCGCAGCACCTGATGGGTTCGTGCCGCTCACGGAGGAGAGCTGTCTGATTGGCACCTGATGAGCTCGTTGCTGAGGGAGTGGCTGCACAGCCCTTGCCTGGGGAAGCAGCAGAATGTGGCCCAGGGGCGGTTGCAAGTGGGGAGATGTGCTTTGTGCAGCTGTGCACAAGGGCAGGAAAGTGCGAGGGTGCCACGTCCATGTGTGTTTGCTTCTGGCTGGGCAGCACGGAGAGAAGACTTGGGATGGAGTGACATGTGGCTGCAGTTCGGCAGGGATTCATTTTGGTGAGAAAAATGCCTGTAGTGGTGATGAGAGAACCATCCCTGAGTAAATCACGTCTGAGCTGCAAAGACCGCAGTGCTGCAAACGGGGCTCCAGCCTGGCACGTGTCTCTTGGAGACATGCTCTCCACAAAACGGGCGGGATGACGCTCCCTTGTGCCCATCCACACGGCCCATCGACATCTGGGCATTGGTTGCCCCCGACGCCAGCGCTCTGTCACCTCTCGGCCACCAAGCCCTACTCCTGCTCCCTGCACTGCGGTGCGGTGCTGCCGAGGGCCGCTGACGCTCTCTGCGCGAGAAGCGCTCTGTGCGCGACGGCAGCTCTTGGCTGTGACGGTACGAAACTCCGGTGCGGCCGCAGCCGTGCCCGGCCCCGTGCCCACGGCGTGGCTGCGCGGCCGCGAGGTGGCGGCGCCGTCCCGGCACAGCTCAGCTCAGCTCAGCACCGCAGCGCCGCGCCTCCCGCCCGCGGCTCCTCCGGGATCTTCCGTTGCCAATCGCATCGCGTAGATCCTCGGTGCCCGCGGACGTTCCCTGCAGATGCTCTCCCCGGGACGTGCGCTGTTACGCGGTGTGAGGACGCGGGGCACCGACGTCTCTCACTTCTCCCATTCTATCACCCCAACTGCGCTGGTGCACAGAGGCTTCGGCTGCTCCCTCGGGGTCAGCGCAGGGCACGGGTCCCTTCCAGCCCAACCACGAGGAAGAATAAAGGGCACAAGCGTGCCTTTAAATAGCGCGGCGAGGACACGCTCTCCCGAGAGGAACGCTCTGGCCGGGCTGGTGGAACATGCCTGTGCCCGGGGGGCGGCTCCTGGCCAGGTGCCCACCTCAAGGTCAGGCATTGCCCAGAGCAGCAGCTCGGCAGCAGGGCCGTGTGTGGGGCAGCCGCTCACCAGCCTGGGTTTCAGCGTGCGCAGGGCTCTGGTGGCGGTGGAGCTGGGTGGCACTGCTGCCCACAGCCTCTGCTGGCCAGCAAGGGACTCGGCACTGGCACTGTGCCTGAGCTGATTCATATCCTGGACATGCTGGCATTTGGATGGTGTCCACCCAGAGGGTGCGACGAGGATCAGATCTGACCTGCTGGCCCTGGGCCGGCTTGTTTGTGTGCGAGGCGCACAGTGACCGAGGCACGGCTGGCATCGCCGAGGGAAGAACGGCATCCATGCAAACTCCAAGGCCTGGTTCCCAAACCTGGGTCCATCCCAGGGACGCAATGTGTGCAGGGCTGTGGTGTGTAGGGAACGCAGGGCTGGATGCAGAGCAGCACATGCAGCAGGATCTCAGGACCCAAGGTACCTGCAGTGCTGCACTGCTGGGGGGCTGAGCCCCGCAGATGGTGGCCACAGGGCTGGGAGATAGGAGCACAGGCATGAGCGGCACTGCTTGCTCCCGTCTTGCACAGCCAGCACCTGAATTGTTTAATAAAGTGTGAAATTGCTTTCATGCTCTGCTACCTTTGCAGACACAGACCATCATTACTGCCTCCCCCCACCCCCCAGCCAGCCGCTGGCTGCTGCCAAAGTCCCTGCTGTCACAGAGCTGCCAGATGAGCTGCTGGCTCATACGGCACCCAGCTCAGCTCCACAGCACAGCCACAATGCACACCCTTCCCTTCTTCCCAGCCCCGTAGCAGAGCTGCACTGCTGTGGATGCAGAAGCCCAGCCATGAGGCTGGGTTGGGGCTGCACACCCCATTTTTCCCCGTTCCCCTCTTCAGATGGCCCTGGGGATGCTGAGAGATGCTGCACACTGCAACATCAGCCAATGCTCTGCAGGGAACACAGGACTGCCCCACCGCCAAGGTGGACCGATGGCTTTTGAGCCGCCTGAACATGCTCAGAAACCATTTGCAGTCTTAACAGAGATAATCAATCACTGTGCTCCTGCTCTGGGCCTAGCTGCTGAGGATAGCTCTCCTGAGCTGAGGGCTGGCAAGGCTGGTGAGGACTGTGCTGCCAGCAGGGGAAACGTCCCCTCGAAAGGACACAGATCTCTGCTCTTTCCTTCCTGCAGGAGGGCAGTCTGTGCCCCTCTGTGACAGGAAATGCCGAGGGAGCCAGGCGTGGGATGGGTGCAGGGATCTGCAGGAAATGCCAGGCAACAGGGATACTTTGCCCCAGGGAAAAGGTGTCATGTTCTTCCAGCCACTGATAAAGTTAAACCCTTGATCTTGTTAAAGATTTAGTCCAGAAGGCGAGTTTAGATAGGACATGCACGCTGCCGGTGCTGCCCAGGCACAGGGAAAACTGTGCTGCCCTCCTTCCTGTGTGAAGGCTGCAAGGCTGCAGGATCAGCCCTATCCCAGGCACAACAGCATCAGAGCAGAGAGCATCACAGTCCTTAGCTCTGCTGTGCTGCGGAGGAGGCATGGGGAGAGCAGGGGAAGGCTGGGTACAGCCTGGCATTGTGGAGCCCTGCTCCCCGTGCCCGGCTCTGAGTGATGGAGTGGTGCCCCGTAGCTCACCCTGTGCTGTAACCCTATAGCCCACGCTGCCCCTGCCACCTCCTTGTGCTGCAGCTCAGCCAAATGCCGTGGGTGGGGGGAGGCTCTGTGCCGCCGTGCTGTCAGCCTGCCCCTGACGTGAAATGAGTCAGCTGGAGCAGCCCATACTGCCGCTACCCCTCACGGACAGCCGGGTGCCCCCCCACCGCTCCCCATATCCCTGCTGTGTCCCTGCAGCACACAGCCCAGGATGGCGGTCCTGGAGCAATGCACCTTTCTCTCCCTGCCTGTACCTCCTCCCCTGGCAGCGGCCCAAGGCAGAGCCCTGCAGGCTGTCCCTTCCCCAAGGTGACCCTGCTGGCGGGTGTGCTGCGCTCCTCGGGGCTTTCCTGAGGGCACCTGAGGTGAAGGCAGCATGCATGGCAGGGGGTATGTGTGTGCAGGGCACAGGCTGCTGGGTTTGGTGACAGCTGCCCACAGTGGCAAATGGCCTAAACCCATATCTCAAGGGCTCCTGCTGCACTTGTGGGTGGCCACTCAGTTGTCACAGTGGTAGCAAGGACTGTAAAAGCACCCCAAACCCCCAGGTTCTGTACCTTCAAGCAGCTCCCAACCATAGGTGCACACTGCTGAGAAAAACTCCCTTTGTGTGCTCAGCATCCCGGCTGGAATTCACCTAAACACACCCCGGGGAGGGAGGGATGGGAGAAGGGCGGGGAGAGGAAAGCTGCCTGCTGTTTGTTTTTGCTAATGAAGCCCCATAATCAAATCATTTCAATTTTAATTGTAAAGCCAGCAGGCAGATTTCTGTCTCCAGATGGGATGCGATATGAATAGCTCAGGGCTAGCCACGTTCTGCCCTCACCTCAATGCCTGCCCAGAGGGATCCCCAAATAAGCCTGGGGAGTGCTCAGGGTCTCTTCTGCTCCCCCATCCCAACAAAGGGACCTACAGGTGCTGTGCTGCACTGAATGGGAGCAGTGGAACAGGAGTTGTTCCCCTGGTTTATATCCCAGGGTACATGAGATCTATTTGCAGCTTGCACTGACTGCTTTGTTTTTGGGTGTTTGGACATGCGAATGAGAGAAGGAAAGAAAAATAAATGGAATAAATGGGGTCCAATTTGTTTTTTGGATAGCTGCAGTGCTAGCCTCCAGCCTCAGTGGGATATGTTGAACCTGGAAACAAGCAGCTGGGAGAGGAGAAATTGTCTATACTCAGTAAGACACGTGCCATGCCCAGCTTTGTGTTTAAGCTGCTGGAAGCTGGGTGCCGGCCACCAAACCCAAGGTGATGCTATATAGGTAATTGCTGGATCCCTGCATCCTGTAAGGAGTGCAGCTGCTTGTATTTCTGACAGCACTCCAGGCACCCTGCAGGAGGGCTCCAGGCTGCGGGATGAATGGTGTGGAGCAGCACCAGCACCCCTTGGCCAGGCCTGCGCCCTTCTCTCTGCTCTCTGCTCCTGCCCGTATGGCTGCATTACCAGAGCCAAGCACACCAAATCCAAAGTCATCCCCAGGGCCGCTGCTGCCGGTGGGCTCACCCATAGACCTGCTTGTCTGCTGCCCAGGGCACAGCCCATGCATGTGTCTGTGAGCAGTGGGAGCGCAGGCACGGAACAGCTGCTGGGAATTTAAATGACCGCTCATGAATGCCGGTTTTGTTTTGTCCCAGACGCGGCTGCGTTCTGCCTGGGAGAAGCAGCATTCAAATGTGGCTGATCACAGGGCTCTCCCCTGCAAATGAAGCTAGTCTGGGAAATCTGAGGAGAAATGGAGCTTGAAAAGAGCCTTGGAGTGACTCCTGTCCCTGCACGGCCCTGCCAAGGGAGCAGTGGGCACCCAGGGCAGGGAATGCAGCAGTGGTGTGGGGACATGGGGACGTGGGACCTGTGATACGTGACATAGGCACATGTGGAGACATGGACATGGGAGCCAGCTGTGCTCCCCTACAGCCCTGATGTGCAGCCAACACAGGGCTGGGCCTGGGGAGACAATGCCATTCACAGGACAGGGTCAGCAAGACTAGAGGAGAGAGCAGGTCTCCAGGGACAACCTGGAGGTGAAGATTTTGGCCTGGTCAGGGTGGGAAATGCTGTCCTGTGACCAGGCTTATGCCACCAGTTGCCACCACTGACTCAACGCATGCTGCCAAATGCATGCCCTGGAGATCTGGTTGTGAATGGATAAACAACATTTCTTATTACGATTGCTAATGGGATACCAGCCCATGACAATGTAGATATTTTAATAATACAGAATTCTTTTAATGAAGAAGCTTAACAAACTAAATTACTTCCCAACATTTGTATATGTCATATTTGCTCATTTATGCATGCAGTAAATGAAATGAACATTACCAAATAGTTAGAAAATAGCGAGCATACACAAGAAGTGCACTTGTATGAGAACAGAATCGGGCACTGCTTTGCTCAGCATACGCTGCCTCACACTGCAGCCAGGCATTCCCTCCCCAGTGCTACACTGCACAAAGCAGTGATGCAATGGCAGAGCTGCCCCCACTCATGGCCAAGGATTCTGCAGCTGCTGCAGTTGTGACAGCCCCGGTTGCTAAACCCCTGTAGCAAATGGTGCTTGCAGATGGAGGGCTGCAGCCCTCACTTGGATCCCGGCCAGGAACCTCTTAGTTCATGGCAATGGTGCTCTGCACCATGGTGCACCTCCACACCTCCACTTGGTCTGCGTGCGCACCTGTAAGGATGTGAGATGTGTGGGCAATGCACCCCGCTGCCTCCTCCTCCCCTTGTGTCACTCGGTGTGTTCGATGTAATTCCCCTTCTGGTTCTCTGCTCATGGGAATATTATGCCCAGCCCTTTGTCGGACAGGTGAGCTACGTGGCTGTGTTCCTTCCCCTCCTAAGGAGCCAAGAATGCACAGAGAGATGGAAATAGCCCTGGCTGACACAGATACCTGTACAAAGCAGTTGGGGCCTGCACTTGCTTTTGTAATTGCATGCTGCATGGCGATGAGTCAGCCAGCCCTGTGCGGCAGGCAGCATGCTGCGGGATGGCTGCAGCCCTCACCACGCCAAATCGGTATCCATTGGTCTGAGAAAGAGCTGTGCCCCCCCCAGAAAGAGTGCTCAAAACACAGCCAGCACATGGAGAAGCTAACAGGGAGAAGGATGGCAGCAAGAACATCTTGCAGCTTTTTCAGCTCTCTAGACACTTCCAAGCGGCAGGAAGGAGCGTAAGCTGTGATCGTGCTGCATTCTCTCTGTTGCTATGTGCAGAACTGCTGCCTGCAGTGTTCAGGCCTGGCTGCAGGGCTCAGCCCCCAGCTGGCATTGCCCACGCCCTGGGACCAACCCAGAGGGATGCAGAACCCCAGGGTGCCGTTATTGCAGCCACCGGCACAGGCAGCACTGCAGACAGGGACGAGGCGGGGGACAGCAGGTGACATCAATGGGATATGACACATGCTATAAGCGCAGTGCGAGAGCTGGAGTGAGAGCGTAAGCAGGAGGAACACGGAGCATATGGCACAGCTCCCGTTGGGCCCTGCAGGCACACAGCCTCCCAGTGCCAGCGCTGCACGAGCTGCTCGTAGGAGGCGCACCGAGGTGCCCAGCCCAGGCAGCATCGGGGCACAAAGCTGTGTGCAAGGAGCAGCCTCTCTGCGATAGAGGGCTTCTGGGACCCCATGGAGACACTGTCCCCAAACAGGACAGGCTGCCAACCCTGCACCGTGCCCGTGCTCAGCTCTGGTGTGCAGTGCAGGGACTGGGTGCACAGCTGCCGTGTGCCGCTCCCCGCAGAGACGTGAGTCAGCAGCAGCACTGTGGGGAGACAGTGGGCATCCCGGGGTCCTCGTACAGCCCACACAGCCGGCAGCAGCCCCATTGCATAGGAGACCTCCCCGCCCTCCTCAGCTCCTTGCTCTGGGAAATTCCCATCTGTTTCAGCAGCTAATCCTCAAACCCCACGTGTCTCTCTCCACAGGTTTCCTGTGCAATAACAGCCTCGCTTCAGCATGTTCAGGGAAGCAGCTTTGGAGATGAGCAGGCTGCAAAAGCAGGCTGGACCAGCAGAGCCTATGCTGGAGCAGCTCCATCCCTGCCTCTGCTGTGGGCTGAGCTGCAGCACACCGAGCCCTGGGGCAGCTGTGATGTCCATTCCACACGGGGCTTTGTGTCACAGTGCAGCATCGCTTTGGTGGAAGAGCAATGGATCCCAAGCAGAGGAGCCCAGTGGAGATGCTCAGTGCCACATGGAGCCACCAGCACAGCTGGGAGCCCTGGGGACAGTCCCACGGTGCCTCATTTAACGTATCATAGAACCATTAAGGTTGAAAAAAACACAACGACCATCTAGTCCGACCATCAGCCCATCACCCATGCAGGTGACAAGGAGAACACGCCACTGAGTGGGGCTGGCGAGCTCCCGGGGAACCCCGTGCTGTAACCAGGAGGACCCCACTCAGCGCCGCTTCCACCCCGCGCCGCTCGGCCCTTACAACATCTCCCCATCCGCAAACACAGCGGCTGAAATCCGAGCACGAGGGCGGGCGCTGGCGCGGGGTGGCTCCGGCCCTGGCGCCGCTCATTGGCTCCGCTCCGCGTCCCGCGTTGGCCTTTGGCAGTCCGAGGGCACTCAGCCCACGTCCCCCCCGACCGCTGCCCTAATGACACGGCTCGCCCTCCCAAAGGGCATGTGCAGCTTCTTGTTATATTTTACCTAGGCTCTGTTATCTCCGAGGCAGACGCTGGCGTGGGAGCGGGGTTGGGGTCGGCACGCTCAGCCCCGTTGTGGGGAGGCTGCAGGGCTCCTCCTCTTGCAACGGTCTCAGCTGCCTGCCCCTCTTTGAGGAATCAGGAAATTTCTGGTGCCTGAGATTATGAGAGGTGGAGAGAGCAAAAACCAGCTTGGCCATATCACGGGACAGAAAGTGTCATTGCTTGGGGACGTTGGCTCCTTCAGGGCTGGGGCTGGAGGACAGCAGTTGGAGGAGGGCCTATCTGCCCTGGCAGAGGGCTGAGAGCTGCAAACCGTAGCTGACACCTCTTCAGTTACAAGAACCAGTGGGCCTGAGCTCTGCCAGCCCTCCTGCTTACAAAACTCAGGTTTTGATTTAGAGAGAGAAGTCACAAGCAATTGATAGTGAAACTGCACGATGCTCTGCGTGCAGCCAGAGAAGGGAGCACTGCATCCTATTCACACCACTACGGGCAGGACACGCTCCATCCCCACCTGATCACTTCTGAGGAGGCAGAACAAAGCAGTGAGACATCTTGTCCTCCTTCACCATCTCCCTGGGGCTCTCCGTTCTACAGGGGGAAAGCACCAAGCAGCACAGAAAAGCACCGGGGCTGTGCGAAAGCCCAGAGCAGGCAGGAGCAGAGGGAGCATCCAAGCACCACCACGCAACCACGTCAGCAGCTGTGCTTCATCCCCCAGGATCCTGTCGGACCCCAGGGACACAGCCAGCAGCATGTCCTCTCTGCAAGGTGTCTGTCCCACCTGCGCTGTCCTCCACTCCACCTGCTGGCACAAGGGCCTGTCCCCAGCTGGCCCTGCCCAGTCTTGTGGCCAAATGGAGCCCTGTGCAGAGGAGCAGTTGGGCGGTGTGGGCTGCGTCTGGCTCTGTTCTGCTCCTCGGGTGCTCGCATACTCAGCTGGGAGAGGTGTTTTTGAAACTCAGGGCTATGGGGGCTGGAGTTTCGAGCCTTTTACAAATGATTCTCATAGATGGTTACTTCCCATTTGAGTGCAACTCATATAAAGGAAATCACGAGATACACGAAGGAGAACCTCACTTGTCATTCAACAGATTCGGCTTGAAAGCCCACATTCAGCGTGAGGCCCTGCAGCCCTGCTTCTCCCCCAGCGAGGCAAACACCGCTGCCGACAGCTCACCTCTCCCTGTACTGCATACAGAGGGGCACTGGGGCCGCACTGCAGGACCCTGGGAGCACAGCCCTCCTCTGCAGGAAACCACCCGTATCCCAGAGCCATTTCCTGCCCTCCTGCCATGTGCGGTGGTGTGGGCTGCAGGAAGCACTCTGGGGCATGGAGCCCTTGGGGGAGGGAAGTTTTACTGCGGTGAGGCAGCGTAGAAGTGCCTTGGGTTGCAGTGCTGCTTAACAGTAATCAGTACTAAAGCAGCACTGCATGGGGAAGAGCTTTGGCAGCTTCTCTCTCACTTCTTCCATCCCAGCAGCAGAACCCCACGTCCCAGCTCTCACCAACCTCGTGCTGCCTGTGACACTGTTGGTGCAGAGCTCGGGGCACAGGGAAACCCAATGCAGCTGCTGCTGCTGAAGGGTCTGCAAAGAGCCTTTGGAACAAGAGCAAGGAGAGAATGCTGATGGGCAGCAAGGCTTGGCTGCTGGGGGAAGGGACCCTCAGCACAGCCATCAGAACACAGCACATGCCTCCCCACCTCATGGCCTTGCCACATCAGCAGCTGGACACACAGGTGTCCGGCACCAAGCCCTCTGATGGGACTGGAGGCTGCAGCCCCTTGAGCTGCAGGTGCTGCCACTCGGCTCATTGGGCAGCAGCTAATTCAGGCTGCAGCAGGGAGCCCTGCTCCTTCCCGTGTAATTGCAACGGCTAAGCAAATAGAACATTCGTGAGATTTTCATCCTGTCATCAATTATTTCTAACAGGGCTTTTAGCGTGCATATGCCTCAAAACCTGAGACAGAAAACGATACACGTGACATCGAGATGCTCGCTGTAGGCACACTGCTGAGAGGAAGGCGGCCCGAAGTCCTTCTGCCTCTCTCTTCCCACTTTCTGTCCCCCGGAGCAGCTCTCCCGCCCGGAACCCCCCTCCCCCCCCCGCTCTCCTGCAGCCCCCCAGGACGCACCCCGCGGGCGGTGCAGCTCAGAACCTCCCGGCGCAGCGCTGCCCCACGCGCGGTCGCAGCTCTGCGGGTCCCCCCGGCGGGGCGGCGCGGTGCCGTCCCCCCCCTTTCGCCGCCCCCCCGGGCTCCCGCAGCCGGCGGGCGGGGGCTGCTGCCGGCTCCGCCCCGCCGGCCGCCCGGCTCCTCGCCGCCGCGCCTGCTGCATGCTCGGTGCCGCCTCAGCCCCAGCCGGAGGTGGAAGATGGCGGAGCCGGGGCCGGACTGCGGAACCCTGCTCGACGAGGCGCTCTCCTCCTTCGTCTTCAACTACCTCGCTGACAGCCAGGTGGGGAGGGCGGCGGTGCGGTGCAGTGCGGGAGGAGCCGACGCGGAGCCCCGCGGAGCGGCGCGAGCCCCAAGGGGAACCCGCGGCTGCACCGCCGGCTGCGCGGAAGCGATTTTAGGGGAGGGGGTCTGCGGGGCAGCGCCGCACCGCGCCGCAGCGGCTCCGGCCCCCGCTTTCAGCACCACTCGCACGTGGACTCCCGGCCCCCCCTCCCCGTGCGCGTGGGGCGAACGGGGAGCCGGCGCTGCAGCCCCTCCGGCCGCGGGAGAGGAGCGGCGGGGAACGCCGGGGGGGCGGCGGGGGGCTGCGCGGTGGGGGCGATAAGAGCCGGGCTGCGGGATGAGTCATGCCGAGCGTCAGTTGCACGCATACGGGCTGGGATCTGGGGATGGGGAGGCTGGAAGAAGGGGCTTCGTGCTGCGAACCGGCTGCTCCAAAATCTGGATCGGCTCCCTCCTGCACGGAGCCGGGTATTAAAATCAGATTAAGGCTCCTTGGCAGCTCCCGCACAATCACGAGAGCGAGCTGTGCTCGCTATAGGGCTCGCATGCTTTTCCATTTTGGGGGCTGGAAGAGAGGCACTATACGATAATCCGGGCGGCAGCGAGAGCCGTGGCCGATCTGGAGCACCTCAGCGCATTTCACAGCCGGATTGCTGAGGCCGGTGCAAGTGGGAAGAGTTTTCTATAGTTATATATCATCCCTCCAGCCCTTCACTTTCATAACCCCAGATTACAAAATAGCTTCGATTGTGAAGTGAGCAGATTCATCCCAACCCATGCTCTCTTACCAGTTAGCTTTGGGATTGCACACAGCAGGAATATGTCGGGTGTGTGTGTGTGTGTGCGCGTGGGGGGAGAACGGGACACACGGGGACTAATCCTGCTGTTTGGGTTCCAAACAAACAAGCTCTCAGGACTTGGTAAATCAGATTTGCCCCTGGTGTGTGTGCCAGACAGAACCAGGCAGGTCTTGCCACCAGCTAGATGGATGTGGTCCCAGTGCCTGCCCCGCATGCTCCTGCCTGGCACGGGACGCGGGCGCTTTGCTGGGGGCAGAGCAGCGGGTGGCAGCTCCGGCTCTTAACGAAGAGCTGATGACAGGCTGCTTACAGCAGAAGGGTCAGGGAGGGTGAGAGGTGGGCCGAGGAGGTTTTGTAAGCAGTTCGCTTTCTCTAATTCGGATTGATTTATCATTGTTGGGGGGAATGCTTGGCTGAAGGAAGGAGGCAGGTTTGGGGGTTGTCGTCCCCCAAAGTGCTGCTGCGGCTCCCAGCAGCACAGCTGCTCTCAAGGCAGGTGAAAGTTCCTGGCTCTGCTTCCCAGCAGTGCGCTGTGTGCTCTCAGTGGCTTTAGCTCTGAGCACAGAGCTCGTGTAATTGCAGCACGCATCTGAAGGGCTGCTCCGTTTTGCTTTTCTGGTCAGCATTTGACGTCTCAATCTAGGAATCTTTTTTTTTTCCCAAAAAGGGACTGTTCAGGGAAAAAAGAAATCCTGATGATTGTCATCCTTCTCTGGTGCGAAACCACCATGTTGTGAGCATCCCCTGCAGAATTTGGGACCGTGAAATGGCCTGTGATGAAATAAGACCATTTTTATGGCATCTCGTGAAATAAGACTGCTGCGCTTGTGCCCTCTTTTTCCCTCCCTCTCCTCTATGTGCATCGTGATGCTGGAGGGAGCGCCGTGCGTGCACATGGGGTCAGTGCTGGTCTGACGTCTGCCAGCCATATAATGTTACGGGTGGCAAACGGATCCGCACCGACTGCCGCAGGTCCGGGCAGCGACGTGCAGCCCGCGCTGGAACAGATATTGCATTTTCCCTCTGTGCCCTAAGTGCGTAGAAGGGTTAAAGCCTGGTGTGAAAACAGAAGGAAAGAAAGAGAGAGAGAAGAAAAAAAAATAAAAAATAAAGCCCCCCCCCGGGGATGATTTGCATACATTTGCTTAAGGAAGGACTAAGTTGTAAGTGTGTGCTGTTCGTGTACCTTCACCTCTGATGAAACTGCAGTGGCAGCTCCTGCTGCTGTCACATGCTTTCTCCAGAGCTGGAGCCAGAGGCGGGCCCCGCGCTCGCCGCTGACGTCCCTCCCCACTACTACTGTACAGCCCTGCTTACAACTGGGTGCTGGCTGCTCATTGAAGCCCGAAAGCTGCTTCTGCACAGTCCCCGGTGCTTGAGCATGGAATCAGATTATCCTAAGTGGCTACGATGTCAGGAGGCCATGAGATCATGAATATTACCCGTTTCCTCTGTGGAAATCTTGAGGAACTCTGACTCTTCCCCCGCTGCCTCTCCCCACTCCCTCCTTCGTAGTGGGTTTTGGGTGAGGAGTGGCTCAATGTTGGTGATCAGCGCTCTGTGACAGAGGAACCCTCGGGAGATGCACAGTGAAGGTTTAGCATGGGTATTTGCATCCGGCCCTTCATTATATAGGCTTGTGCTGAGGTTGCCTGCGAACCTCTATTTACATATTGAGGACAGCGATGATTCACCTGCAGCCTGCATTGCTACAGAGAAAAAAATCAGGGTTTCTCACTCCATACAGGCCTTTCTCCTGCTGTCCCCTTTCCTTTCTAACAGCAACGAAAAAGTGATTTTGTTCTGCAGTAACTCAGAATGGGCCCATTTGATCCATTTTGTGCACCCCCGCTGCAGCAAGCAATGGAAGGTGGCAGCAGGTGCTGGAAAGTGGCATCCCTGTGGCTCTGCAGGGAGCATGGGCCTCAGCATTCCTGCAAAAAGCAGGAGCACTGTGCTTCTATGGCTTCAATTTGTTTAAAACCCCCCAGTGAAGTGCAGCAGTGAAAAACGGTAACAACAGGCTGCTGCTGGGAGGGATGCTAAAAGATCATGTGAGCTGCAATGCTATATTCCTCATTAACTTCTCAGCGTCCCAGTAACAGCTTAATCCATTGATGAGTGCAGGGAGAGCACAGAAGGCCTCGGCTGAGCATCAGGTGGATCAGTATTGCTGGTAATGAAACGAATGTGTGTCCCTAATTTCTGACAGTCCTTGCTGAGCAGGCCGATGTTGCGCTTTGTGCATGTGTTGAGCTCTGGGTAGTGGAGGCAGCCCCAAGCTCTGGCAAAGCTGCCCTTGCAGCTCAGGTCGTGCAGCCCATGCTGGTGATGCTCTCACCTTGCTGGGTGCTGCTGGGCTGTGGCACAGATGTGTGTGGATGAGGCCGTCAGCATTGGTTTGCTTACAAGGCAGGATGCCCACAGCTGTGTGCACTGCAGCTTCAGATATGGAGGAGATGGAGAGTGCAGCGGGAGCAGGGAGAGGAGGGCTGGTCCTCTGGAGGGCTGTGTTCAGCCTGACTGCTCTCAGTCCTGGCTTTGGGCCCCAGCAGGACCCTTCCCTCCACCTTCCTGCACATCCCTCCCTGCTCCCATGCTGTAATGGAAAGGCACCTCTCCAACAGGTGAATAATTAAGGTCTTAACCTTGTGCCTCTAGCAAAGGGTGCTTTGTGAAAGAGACTGATTTCTCTTCCACATTAACCTTTCCAATGTCAAAAGCCTCTTTGTAGTTACAAACTCTGCTTGCTCCCACACTTAAATGCTGTCAATTGAGAATGAAAAATGTCCTGGGGCCACGGGATGCCCTTCCTCCCCCAAGACCCCCTCTGCTGTGTGCAGGGCCAGGGACATGGGCACCTACGAAAACTGTGCTGCTCGGGGCTTTCCCTGAGGTGGGGCAAGGAGCCTGCATTTGTCAGAGGAATCCGCTTCGGCCCCCGCTTCACGGCTGAGCCCCGCTCCATGGCAACCCCTTGCAGGCTTTCATTTCTCGTGATGGCTTGGTGGAACGGAAGCGATTTAGCAGAGGAGGAATTTTGCACGCTGCCTGCATGGAGAGACGGGCTGGGGCATCCCTCACCTGCACCCCAAGAGCGGGTGAACGCAGGCAAGGGGATGCCCTGCTGCTTGCACCATGTGCAAGGGGATGCGGGTGCTGATCGTGGTTGTCACAAGCCAAAGACTAAAGGTTGAAGTTAATGGCGCAGATGGTCAGGTGGGGTGAGCTGACCTACTTTGGAGGCAGCCACACTGCTGTGCCACCCAGGTAATGGTCTGGCCGATGTGTTCTCCTTCACTTATCACTCAGCAGTTCTGCTCTTCAGCACTTTTCCTGAGTTCCGGCCATGGAATCGCACTAATTATTATTTATTTATTGGCTTTTTTTTATATATGCGTGTAATGGGAGCTTCCAAGAAACGCCACAGACTTTGCATGGATCTGGCAGTGCTTGCAATGCCAGCAGAGCTGTCCTCATGTGGCTCTGTGACAAAGGCAGCGTGCAGCTCTGAGCTGCAGATTGTTGCATTGAACGTGATTATGGCAGAACTAAGAAAAGGAAAAATAAAAGCTAGAAAGCTCTGCTTTGGCCATGTAAGAGCTGAAAAGCCCCAGTGGTTCCCAATGCAGTGTCTTGTGTATTGGCTGGTGGGGATGCGAGACTGGCAGCTCAGCGGCTGTATGCAAAGCCCGCAGTAGCCAGACTTAACCTTTGATCACTCCTGGCTCCTGGGCAGATGTCTGGGGCTTAGGGAAAATGCTTTGCTTATCTCACTTCCCGCTGTCCTGAGACAAAGCCGCAGGCACTGGGTGCTGGGCACCTCCCCAGTGCCCTGTGCCTGGACAGAGCAGCTCTGCAGGTAGGATGCTGCTGTGCACAGAGCGCCATGGGAGCGCTACAAAGACCTGGCTGAAGTGGCACAGAGCTTCCTACATCCCCTCCTTCTGCAGCTGTCAGCTGGTGAGGGGCCGCACAGCGCTTCCCCTCCAGCAGAGACCAGAGGACAGTCCCTGGGCTGAGGGCTGCGGTGGGAAAGACAGCGGTGGCCTCGAGGGCTGATGTGACACTTCTGTGTTCCCATGGCGCGCAGCGGCACATGCTTGACAGGGATGTTTTTGTGCTGAGGTGGCTGAGGATGAAACGAGTGCCTGGAGCTCTTGCAGTGAATACGATTGCAGAGCAGTGGTATCTTTAC